CTATCCCCAGAGATGCCAATTCATAAGCAGGACAGGAAAATGTGTAAGTTCCCTGCTACCCGAAAACAGACCCTGATGGTGACTGAACTCAGAGAAAAGATTAGATAATTAGATCTAGTCTAAGGTTTTATGATCCATGAGGTCAGTGTTGTTTAAGAAGTAACAGAAGTGATAGACTCAGGCAAAGATCTGAGATATGGCAGTCATCTTATGAGCTCAGCAAGGATTTTGAACCAGAGGAGAAACTTAATCTTCAGCTTTTAGTGTTACCCTGCCTTCATAGACTGATTTCTCCCACAAATCCTTCAAGTCTGCTTCTGGGTTTCCCCACCCTGTCTCATTTTGATGGAAATTTGTCATTGCTCATTTAGTTCAGGTGGACGAGAACTTACTGAGATGAAGCTCTTCTTTTTCATTTTCCCTGTAGTAGCTGCACACTTTCTGATTTTGATGCCTTAAAAAAAACAAAACAGCAAAAAAGAGCTGTTTCTGACATGAGGTAAGGGCCAGCTTACCCAGTGACCTGTTCTCTGTTCCACCCAGGGCTTGTGAGGTCACCTGACCATGCTTTCTACCAATGTATATGAGTCCACAGGCAGCTTTAACAGGGAAGAAGTCCCACAATGCCTTGTAAAACATAACTGTGAGGCTGGAGAGACAGACAGCTCAGCAATTAAGAGCACTGGTTGCCCTTGCAGAGGACTGGGTTCGGTTCCCAGGACCCACATCGCAGCTAACAACTGTTTATAACTTCAGTTCCAGGGGATTCAATGTCCTCTTCTGACCTCCACAAGCATTGCACAATATAGGCGCACTTACATACATGAGGATGTTGGGAAAAAAAAAAAATGAAATACCTTGATGAATGCTGTAAGAACTCTGCATTTTGATAGAAAACTCTGTTTAAAATGTTGATTTAGATTTACTTGCTAAGCTTGCCTGTTCTGCCTGATTGTATCTACCACACATGGATGATTAACCTAGTTGAAATGCTAAGAATTGAAGTGCTGTAAACCTCCTTCCTGGACCCTGGACCCCAGACTCAGTTGATTTACAATGTGTCCTGT